CCGAGATGGAGTATTTGTGCATCAATCAAATTACACCAAAATGGTATTGAAACGCTTTAATATGGATAAAGCGGCTCATTTGGGTACTCTAATGGTCAATAGATCGCTTGATGTTAACAAAGATCTATTTTGGCCTTGTGAAGGTAACGAAGAAATATTAGGTTCAGAGGTACCTTATATGCGCGTTATTGGTGCACTTATGTATCTTTCAAATTGTACTAGACCAGATATTGTTTTTGCTACTAACCTACTTGCAAGGTACAGTTCTTCACCAACGTACAGACATTGGAATGGAATTAAGTATATCTTCTGTTATCTTCAAAGTACGATTGATTTTGGATTATATTATTTTAGAAACCGTGAGGTTGGTCTGGTTGGTTTTGTAGATGCGGGATATTTATCAGATCTGCATAAGGCTCGATCGCAAACCGGCTATGTTTTCACTATTTGTGAGACCGCAATCTCATGGCGTTCATAAAAGCAGACTTTAGTTTCTACATTTCAAACCATGCAGAAATCATTGCATTTCATGAGGCATCTAGATAATGTGTGTGGCTAAGATCTATGACTAATCAAATCCAAGAGGCAAGTGGAATAGCCATCAACAAGAATCCAACAAAAATATTTGAAGATAATGCAGTGTGCGTTGCTCAATTCAATGAAGGCTATATCAAGAGTGGCAGAACAAAACATATCCCTCCAAGGTTTTTCTCCTACACTCAGAAGCTTGAAAAAAGTAAAGAGGTCGATATTCAGCATCTTAGCTCATGTGACAACGCGGCTGATCTTTTCACAAAGGCACTTCCAACTACAACTTTCAAGAAACATGTTTACACCATGGTAATACAGCATCTTCGAGATCTGCAAAAAGAAGACAATATCTATCTTTTCTAGGGAGAGTTTGCTGTTGTTGTAATCTTTTTCTCTTTGTCGTAGATTTTGTCCCACTAGGTTTTTTCATGGAAATGTTTTTAGCGAGGCAGCACGCAACTTCACATTGAGGGATACTCAAGGGGAATGTTAAAAAAGTGGTGGTTATCCATCTTGTGTCACCTCATGGACACTTGTCTAATCTATGTAATAAGTAGACACTAAGTTTGATTATTATCCTCATCACCATAACACATATCATTAGCTTCCTATATTTGTGAAAGTTGTTTGTGTAATTCTTCCACTATAAATAAGTAGTTGTAGATGAGTAAGAAGTCACACAAGTTGTAAACACAAAAAAAAGAACATAAATAAAGTCTTTCTTTCTCTCTCATTTAAATTAAGTCACCATCTTTCCTCCTTTTATTTACAACAAAGACCACATTGTAATCTCATTATATACTTATTGAGGATGAAAAGAAAATAAACTGATGATGATGTGGGTTTAGATAAAATAAATAACAATGAAAAATGAAAGAGAAAAATACTAATTAGAGTTGAGAGAAACCATCTCAAAAATGATATTGGCAACTGTAAAAGGAAGTATGCGCACATTCTAAAAATTCCTTATTACATTAAGTTAAGCCTATCAAAATTAAGGATACATTTATCCAAAACCGCCTCGTATAAATAAATAAAAAAAGATTTAGTATAAAAGAAACTTCCTAAATCTAAGGAAATTGAGATTTTCCTATTCAGAAAAGAAAAGGAGCTCGATGGAACCAACCTCATATCCATATAAATAAAGAAGGGATCATAGCTTAAGAATCAATATGAAAATCCTAAGAGAGCAGCAAGAGAAGACCTTATATTTCCTTAATTTTTCTGTTCGATTTCTTAGGAGTTTTTACTTTGACCTCGGCAATATATTTTGTTTGTACCTCTCTTGTAACTTCTAAATCCTTGAGCTATAATAAAAGACATTATTCTCTAAATTCCCAATATGTTTATTACTTATTCGAATAGGTGATATCATAATTCAACAATTGGCAGCTTCTATAGGAAATAGAGAATAAATTCTTAAAAAAAGCTAGGATAAAAGATGATTGACAACACCAATACTAAGACAGTTGACCAACAACCAAGACTCGATACCGAGGGTAACCCCATCACGACATCAACCGACAAGCCAGCTAAAACCGGAGAAAATACAGAGGAAGGGGACCAAACGCATTAAGAACCACCTCCGACTACGCCTGCCCCAATCACCTCTGCTGATCTAACCTCTCTGATGCAGTTTATCATGCAGCCGATGCTCCAATCTCTATCAGACAAATTTGACGTCATGAATGGTTAACAGAACCAATAGGATGATCAACTCAACTCGCTTGCCGTAAACACCCAAGGGAATCTTACCCCGATAGAGCGACACCTCTTCAGGACCCCCGCAGCCAGACCAGAACGATGGCAGCCACAAGATGAATCTAGAACTCAGCCCGCCCTACCGAGTCTAGTGCCGACGTGGCCAGCCTGCAGGAGCAGATGGACGTAATCGGATCCAAGGTGCACCAAGCAACAACCTCGGCTCCAGAAATCTCAAAAATTATGGCTGATACACAACAAAGTCCTTTCGCCCCCTGCACCACCGACGTCCGCCATAGACCCGCAATAAAACTGAAACTGAACTACTACACCAGGGTGAAGAATCCCAAAATCTGGCTCATCAGTTTCCATATTGCCATGAACAAATAGCAATTCAACTCGCCGAAGAGGGGGAAGCTAATTACTGCCAAACCTTGTTCGAATACCTAAACAAAGATGCATTAAATTGGTTCTCCAAACTCCGACAAGGCTGCATAAAACGCTACGAGGACCTTTCCACAACTCCTCTTGAGATGCAATTTGGGCTTGGTGTTCACCTTATTGCAAGGAAGGAATGAGTCGCGTCGAGATCACATTGAAAAATTCAAGGAAACCATCATATCATACGGGAAGATTCCCGACGAGCTAGGACTGCAAGCCCTCGAAAATGGATTATGGCCTATGGTACCAATCTGACTTCAATGACGAGCTGCAAAAGAACCCGCAAGGAGCACAAGAAAACGCCTTACACCGCGCCCAAACGTTCATCAAAATAGAGGAAAACAAGAGGCTCTGTATCTACAAATACGATGAGGAAGAATACAAAAATCTTCCAAGACTGCCCCATGGTTCTAGGGGAAAACTGGTATTGCATGCTATTAGCAAGCCGACAGAAAATCCGCGCGCGAACACAAATCCAAACAACAATCACATCGTCTAACCAAGTGCTACAGAATAGGACGAAAACCCCAACGCTTGTTGCATCTTCCACGAACGATACAGACACACGTTCTCTTCGTGCCGACACCTACACAATTCCTTGTACCAAAAAATACAAGGGTGGCGAAATCAAAATCGAGCGAGAGCCACCTCGCTCCAACTACCACAAAAGGAATAATTCTTGGCGACATCCCAACAATGGAGATCGCAACAACACCAATGATCGATGAGACACTGATGGAAAGCCACCCGGAGCCCTTCACTGCATAAAGCCGCTAATAAAGGCATCTGAAATGTTTATGAAGAACACGATGACGAGAACCAGGAGAATCCCCGCCTCTACCAAAACGACAAGTAAATATGATCATAGGCGGACTCCCTGATGTCGATGACTTGGTTCCAGCCATAAAAAGTTAAAGCCGGAAAGCCGAAGCCTCTCGAAAATACCCTCGCCGACCTGGTAACAAGGCCAGAATTGTCTTTACGGTAAAATATACATTGGGCCTCCACCCCCTCTATCCCCCCCCTCACTATAATGAGCCCTTTGTGGTCGACCTCCATGTCCATGACAGTGAGGTGACTAAAATCTTGATCAATATGGGAAGCACCATAAATATCATCTTCAAAGACACACTAGCTAAGATGGGCATCTACGAGAAGAACATAAAGGCGGCCTCGAAGCCCCTCACAAGATTCACGAGCGAATCCGTCTTCAGCATCTGCACGAATCAACTCACCGTCTACGTTGACAGAATATCCAAAATTGTGAAATTAACGGTAATAAATAAACTGGCCATCTACAACGTGATCCTCGGGACACTATTGATCCATGAGATGAAGGCAATAGACTCAACATACCATTTGTGCATGAAATTCTCGACCTCGTCAGGAATCTACACACTGCAAGAAAATCAGCAAATGACTAAGACATGCTTCATAAGCGAACGAAGAATTCGAACTGCCGCCGCCAAGAAAGAAACCCTGCCTTCAACTTGGTAACACGCCACTCAATTTTCTACAAAGATTTGGCACAAGTTACCACTTCTTAACAAAAAAAAAGAGAAAAGCAAAAGAAAAAGAAAACAAGAAAGCAAACAAAAAAAAACAAAAAAGGCCCAACGGGCAGATCCTACTTTGTATTATGAATTACAAATGGCTTGATCCCTAATTTGGATACGTAAGTAGTCCTTTCTGGGTTCAACTATAACTTAATAAAATTATTTTCTTTTTTATTATTTTTAAGTCGACATCAAACACAAACGACATCGCCAAAGCAGCAAAAATAGTCATCCTATCTCTCAAACACAGTCCATATTCTGACCAATCGTTTGACTCTAAACGAATAAAGGAATGAATTGTGGCTGACCACCACTCCCTTAATTACTTCCAAAGAATCTAAAGGAAGAAGCCGAGGCCGAAACTCGCACAAATCTAGCCATACAAAAACGAAACTTTAGCAGAAATCAGTCTACATGCCTTGTATTCGACCTCGAAGTTGTAAAGTAGCATATGGCGAGCAAATAGCCCTCACATTTACCAAAGAGCCGATGAAGTGCTCCACCGCAACCAAAAAGTTTGTTTGCCTAAAATCGCTAGAAGAAGCGTAATATGGACTAAACTGTCTTACACCGATTACGAAGTTCGCTTATGCATACTGTAAGTAAAAAAAAAAAATTCCAGAATCAACTTGCCGAAACAGCATCTTTGATTTAAAAAGAACAATTATGTATAAATAAAATATTATAAAACCTCGTGAATTATTTGTTACTTAAAAATAATCTTAAAACCATAGCAACGGTTGCCAGAAACTTGAAACAAAAATATATGTATAAAAAAATGGATTAAAACATTCTCAAGAAATGTTATTACATTAATAAAAGTACAGGAAAGAAATAAATAACTATTTGTATTCCTCCTCGGCACCCTTTCCTTCGTCAAGGACTTCCGCTCAAGGCTCTCTTAATGTTTCAGAGGATTCGGGTCATACTACTTGTATCACCTCAGCTAGAATAGGCCAGACCAATCGATACATCGAGCCAAATTGCTAAAACTTTAAGGGAACAACCCAACAATTGTCAAAACAAAAATCATTGAGACAATACAGAAAGCCTAGCCTGCAAGGAGGAGCAAAATTTTCCTCTGAAAAGGTGATCTCACTGATAGCATCACCTTTCTCCTCGCAATTTGCTTTAGCCTTCTCAGAGAAGAAATTGCCCCATCACGGACTTCCCAACCCTGATTTTGCATCCCGGTGAGATATAATAGCACGTAATCGCTTCTTTGCTCCCCAATAAGCAACTTCTCAACGATATCTCGTTGAGCCAAGGACACTTGGGACTTCTTAACACGAGGACCTTATCATGTCAATGCATTACATGAACCTCCTCGGTGATGGGTTGAGCCGCCTCTTCCCGAGATCAACAAACCTTTACCCCTTCGGCAGCCGCCTTCTCCGCACTAAAAGCAGCTTCTCTTGTGAGAATCTAAAGCCTTAACTTAAGCTCGACATTCTCATTCTGGAGCTTCTTTGTACCCAACAGTTTGAGCTGAACCTCTCTGTTGACGATATTAAGCTCCAGATTCTCATACTCGAGCTGCTTCGCACGTTTACCAGCACCCTCCAAGCATTCAAGCTTTTCAGCAGATCGTTCGGTCATTGAGTCTCAGGTTACGACCATACGGTCGTACAAGTTGGCAATCATCGAAAAAGCCCCATACCCTGTTAAAGAAACAAAGTATGACTAACTTTCCAATCAACACACAATAAATAAAAGAAAGAAAAAGGCTTGTTATATGAAGACGAATTTGGACTACATGGTGCGACTCCTCGGAGAAGGTATCAAGCATCTTCAGCTCCTCCAGTTTGTAGGCCATGTCGGATTAGGCCTGCAGTTCCAATCCAGCATAGTGGAGAACCCCATATCAAACATAAAAGGGGTGAACTGATTCCACTTCAAAAGAACCCGATGAGCATTGTAGCTGTTCTCGACGCCCAGCTTGGGCTCAACATTAGCTTGCTCCTCTTTGACTGGCGGATTGCCTTGATCAGAAAGATCCCCTCCAAGGCCCGCGGCAGTGTCACTAGTCCCCACCTAATGGTCGCCTTTCTGAAAACCAGAAAGTTTAGAATCCCGGCACTGGTGGAAAAGACTGGTGGTGAAGGCAACAAAGAGGAATTCTCCTTTTCTTATGTCTGCCCCTCGGCAGGTTCAGTAGGCACATGCCTCGAGTGTAACGCTTTCCTGCTGTACCTCGGCAGTAGCTGGAATGGAGGATGAAGAATCCTCCTTAGTTCTCTGAAATTGAGGAGACTCAGATAATTGATCTCCCACCAAGGCAGAAAGTTTTCCGACCTCCTCTCTCGTAGAAGAATCGCTCATCTTAGCTAGTCGAGCTCTTTTCTTTGTAGGAGCAGCAGTAGCCCCTCCAAGATCTTCTGGCGTACTCCTCTTCCTGCCTTTCTTAGCAGGCAGGATACTCGAGTTTCACAAGAGCTACGAAGCTAACAAAATAGATTTCAGAATCGAAAGATTCCAACCTCAAGAAACATAGAAATCAATCGATGATGACTTACTTATTCTCAATGCTCTTGCTTTCTTTGATAATGGGCTCAACTCGGTTATATGTTGAACTGATTCACCCTTCTTCGTCTCCAGAGGCCAGATCTTCTGACTAAACACCTTTAGTCACTCTTTGTGGTCCTCAAAGTTATCTGGATCCGAACCGAGATAGGGTTCCACTGCAGAAATTCAAGAAATAACGGAGTTATTCGAAAAAAATTCTGGAAAATAAAGATATATGAAGATTCTACATCAACAAATCTAAATCTACCAGATTTGGCTATCCATTTATGGAAGAGTTTGACGAGGGCCCCTCTAATTTAAGCCTCATTGATCTTCACGAAGAAAAAATATTTATCCTAATTATAGATCTTGCTCGGAGGAATACCCGAGGTAATATCATACTTCGGCAAAGTATAAAAGATCTTGGGCTTTCCATCCATGCCGAGGTGTCCACCCTTAAGGGTGGTAAGTCTCTCAAAGATATCCCAATTAGAAAGAACCTCGGCAACACGAGCGACTGCAGCCAAACAAATCAGATTCCTGATAAGGGTGTGACAAATCTCGGACATCGCCAGCCTTCTACGCTCACAATAGCGAAGCAGGATAGGGGAGATTGGAAACCAGAGACAATAATCAGGAAAGAAGCACTTTTATACACAGAAGAATCCCCTCGGGGGTTTTTACGGTCTTTCTCGCTAGTTGGGTGTTCGAAGAACTACTCCCTCCAAGAACCCGCATCGCCGAGGATCCCATCTCGAAGACCAATCGAAGTTCCAACTATTTGGCTATGACCGGCAAAACGGATAATCCTTTCCGCTACCTTATCAGGCGCACCCTCTTCTTGGGTCCGCCTTTCGGCGAGTGCACGATCCTCAGCCTCTATCGCTGCCCTCTCCATCCTACCCGCGTCAGTTACAGTTCCGAGTAATCAATCCTCACGGTGCGATTACTTCTTAGAAGGACTAAGGACCAGAATACATTTGCCCTTCCTATCTATCGGAGGCGTATACATCGCAAAAAAAAAACTGAAGTCGGCCGAAGAACTAAGAAACGAAGGAAACCCTAGGTTGGGATCGCAAAAGGAAAATCGGTGAAGGAAAACTTTGATTGAAAATTTCCTGGTTTCAACCAGACGAAGCAAAGAAAGTACGATGAATTATTGAACAGAGAATCAAACAAAGAAAAAGAATTCACACAAAGTTCAGACAAGCAAAATAAGGAGGACAAAGAAGAGTACCTACCTTATTTATTGGCCCAAATGCGCGAATAAAAGAAATAAGGAAAATCTGAACAGTCCTCTCATAAGATGCGTGTGGATGTCCTTGATTCTCTGGAAAGCATAAACTTTTCGAGTTTCCCGACTGCGGAATCCTTAATTGAATTTGGGGCTGCAAAGAAAAAATAATTAACTAAGCTGCACTTCGATAATATCTTGCTGATCTGTGGTGTATATATACTTGAATAATGGTCCAGTGGTTTCTCACATGACGGGCTGGCCTTAATGAAATAGAGCCAGACCTTTCTCATGAAGTTTGCCGAGCAGCTCTATAAGTCACATCGACGAACTAGGAGGCTTATTGTAGATGAGAGAATGCGCACATTCTACAAATGCCATTTATATTAAGTTAAGCCCATCATAAGTAAGAATATATTTATTTGAAACCTCCTCGCATGAATAAAGAAAAGAATTATGATAAATGAAATTTTCTAAATCTAAAGAAAAGGAGATTTTCCTATTAATAAAAGATGAGTTCGATAGAACCGTCTTCTTATCCATATAAATAGAAAAATGATCATAGCTCAAGAATCAATCTGAAAATCCTAAGAGAGCAGTAAGAAAAGATCTAATATTTTCTTAATCTTTATGTTCGATTTTTTAAGAGTTTTTACTTACTTTGACCTCGGCAAAACATTCTGTTTGTATCTATCGTGTAACCTCTGTTTGTATCAATCTTGTAACCTCTAAAGTAGGGTGTATTGGATTAATAACTTGGAATGATTTTGTTGTTTTTTCAAATCCCTTCTTATTGTATATAGCATTTAAAAAAATTATGCAAAATCCATAATTATTGGATTGGTCATTTATACAATTTCATTAAAATTTTGCCTTATTGAAAAATTATGATTTCATTAATGAATTATTTTTAAAAATGATTTGGGATGATTTGAGAGGTAATTTAGAGTTAATAATACATAGATTAAAATACCACTTCATATGATGATATTTGAGAGAATTTAGAAAACAAGATTTGTTTAAATCATTTTAAAACTTTAAATTCATTAAAATCTTCGTAGATTTGTATTTATCCAAATTACTAATTCAATATGCCTCCCTAAATCTTTGAGTTATAATAAAAATATTTATTCTCTAAATCTCTAAATCATTTATTATTTATTCGAGTAGATGATATCTTTTAATAGCATCCAAAACACACGGATAGATCAAATAACTATTTATAACAAAGGAGGAGAACATGTGTGAAACTTAAATGTTAACCTCGATCTTCGAAATTGGAGACATTTTAAGTACATTATTAAATCTTTATAAAACAGAATTACCAATAGATGTATTATTAAAAGAATTTATAGAATATGATTGGTAATTGTCCTTCTTACTTATGTCCACCACCAACAATAAATAAACCAATTTATTTACAGTTTCTCATCCGTTGTTGTAGTCTTTGGGAAAAAAAAAAAAAACTAAACCACGCGTGCGTTAGTAAACATTTACAGTCAAACCGCGGTTAGAAACTATAAAGCGACACCTAAAATTGAAAATTGAAAAGGACTGGTAGTTGTTGGTATATTGAATTGAAATTTAATAAAAATCATAATTAGAAGGTTATTGGGAGATAGAGTTATAAAGTTTTGATTGATTTTAAGAATTCAGATATTTGTTAAATTTGTTAAAAAAATTTGTTAAATTTGGAAAAAAATTATTTATTTAAAAAATTTATGAAAATTTTTTATTATAATGACTTTAAAAATCTAAACCATATAGATAATATTTTGAAAGTATTTCTAAAATCTTTCATAAGATTTTAATAGAATTATAAAATTTTTAAAAGCTAAATTTTTTGAATAACAAAGAATTTTGGATGAAATTTTAAAATCTTTAAACCAATAATAATGAGTTTTAGTAAAATTTTAAGAATTAATAAATCAGAATCTCAAAATTCTCAAAATTTATATAAATCTCTCTCACTAATCCCTTTAATAATCGTCCAATAACCCCTTTAATAATCGTCTTTGTTGTGCTCTGTCTCTCTTTCTCTCTCTCTCCTCGTGACCTTTAAAAGCATTCTATTATTCCAAACCAAAAACCATACAGACACCACGAAAGCAAAGAAAGAAAAAAGAAAAAAAATAAAAAAAATAAAAAATGGCGGTGAAGAAGAAAATCTCATGGCGATCATTAGTCGCTGGTTGCTTAGGAGATCCAGAAACCATAATGGTTCCTTCGAAAAAACCCAAGAGTAAAGATGACGTCATCAAGAAACAGAGCTCGTTTCAGAGACTATCGATTCTTGATTTAAGCAACCCGAGTTCGACTACTTTATCAGAAGATCTATCGATTTCTCTCGCCGGATCCGACCTGCACAAATTTAGCCTCGCTGAGCTTAAAGTCATTACACAAAGCTTTTCTTCTACGAATTTCCTCGGTGAAGGAGGGTTTGGTCCTGTTCACAAAGGATTCGTCGATGATAAGCTTCGTCCAGGTCTTAAAGCTCAACCTGTAGCTGTAAAATTGCTGGATCTTGAAGGTCTTCAAGGTCACCGTGAATGGCTGGTTAGTAATTTCATATTTTCAATTTCAGTTTCCCAGGAATTAATTACTCTTCTTAATTCGTTTTGTTTCTTAATCTTTGTGTCTTTCCTGTACTTCTTCAGACAGAAGTCATGTTTTTAGGACAATTAAAGCACAAAAATCTGGTGAAATTGGTTGGTTACTGCTGCGAGGAAGAACATAGGACTCTTGTTTATGAGTTTATGCCTCGTGGAAGCTTAGAGAATCAGCTTTTTAGAAGTGAGTATCTCTCTTTTTCTCTTTCTCTATGTTTTCTTATGTATAAATGACCAAATTCAGACAAGAAGTTTCTAAATTGGGATGATTTCTATATTCAAATTTCAGGATATTCGGCGTCGCTTCCATGGTCGACGAGGATGAAGATCGCTCATGGAGCTGCAACAGGTCTTCAATTTCTCCACGATGCAGAAAATCCCGTAATCTATCGCGATTTCAAAGCCTCCAATATCTTGTTAGATTCGGTAAGCAAAAAGCCGTAAGGGCGTCTGACTCAAAATCAATTGATAATTAGTGAATTAGCCGTCCTATATAAATTAAATTATATCTTTTATAACATTTTCCAGACTTTCAAGATTTCTAAGTTCTTACAAATTTCTCATTTTCAAATCTTGTTTTTCAGGATTACACGGCTAAACTCTCTGACTTCGGGTTAGCCAAAGATGGACCAGAAGGAGACGACACACACGTGTCAACGCGCGTGATGGGCACAAAAGGCTACGCAGCTCCTGAGTACATAATGACCGGTCATCTAACGGCCAGGAGCGACGTGTACAGCTTCGGAGTCGTGCTACTCGAGCTTTTGACGGGACGGAGATCAGTGGACAAGAAGAGATCTTCAAGGGAACAGAACCTTGTGGATTGGGCTCGTCCAATGCTCAACGACGCTCGTAAGTTGAGTCGAATCATGGACCCAAGACTTGAAGGTCAGTACTCAGAAACAGGAGCAAAGAAAGCAGCAACTTTGGCTTACCAATGCTTGAGCCATCGACCCAAGAACCGGCCTTGTATGAGTGCCGTTGTCTCTATCCTCAACGATCTTAAGGACTACAACGATATTCCCATGGGGACATTCACTTACACGGTACCAAACACACCGGAAAAGTCACTCTCCGACAATAGAGAAGACGAAGGTCGTGTTAGGGAAAGTAATAAGCCTCGTAAGAGTCATCATCATCGAGAGAGTAATCATCACCCGACTGCTAAATCTCTGACGGCTAACTCTCCGAGGACTAAATCTCCGACAGCTAACTCTCCGAGAACTAAATCTCCGACGGCTGAGTCGCCGGGGGGAGGAAACCACCGGAGAACTTTGAGAAATGGATTGAATTCGCCTATGAGAAGTGAGGCTGGTGGGGAACGGTACTAATAACTAATTATTAATTTTTAGTCTCACCTACTTTTCAATTATTAATTTTTAAAATTTATTGTAAATAATAACTAAATAGTAATTGTCTTTTCGTTATGTAAAATGATATATTTATTTTGTGAAAAATGTTAGATGGTCTATCTCGTTGAGGCTATATTCGATTTCTCGTTTTTTTGTCCTTTTGTTTTGTTTGATCAAATCAAAGTAAGCAGAGTGGTCCAATCTGATGAAATTCTTTTGTTCGTCTATAGAATGACGCGTTATTCACCGTTGGCTTGTCTTTCGCTAACTTTTTTTTTTTTTTTTCATCTGGTATTATGTATAAGACAAACGATAGAAATCTCCATACCAAAGATGAGAAACCACCTTGTACTAAGCCTAAAGCTTGCAAACAACAACATTATACCAACCTAAGAAAAAAAAACAGAAGACTAAACACCATCACGTAAGGAGCACGATCACAGAACAGAAGTACACACTTTTTCATAGTCAAATAGAGCTCTTAACCAAAAAGGATAGCCCAACGCAACATAAGAATGAGCACGATTATTCCGGGAGACACTTTGAGTATGAAAAGAACACCTCTATTTGAGTCCGATTATTCGTCAACCACTAACCACTCCTTAATGGGACTCAAAAAAGAAGAATCATTTCACGAACTTGATATCTGAACGACAGCCATGCCTTTGGCCTAACAACTTGTAACACCCCCAACTATTCCTACCAGTTCCTACTGGTGAGCACATCCGCGTCCTCTCTCAGACCTGTGGACTTCATTCCCGTCCGACGACTGTGACATTACCATATATTCTATATTCTGCATATTTTGCATGCATTTAGGATATTTTTTCATGCATTCATCTTACATTATAAGCTAGTTTGTTCCATTTGTTGCATTTTAGGTTCTAGATCCCTTTGCATTCGCATTTTGCATATTTCTTGCACATTTGCATCATTATCAGGTTGTTTGGAGCACTCTGGGGTTATGGAGGTTATGTGGACGTGAGGAGGATCAAGATGGAGCCTGAAGACACTTGGAGAACTCAGCCGTGCATGCGAAGGACCCGAGATCGAGTAGCTGATCGAGCAAAGCAGGTCGATCTAGATGAGATCGACCAGAAGATTGAGTGACCCGAGTCGATGCAAGGGAAAGGATCGAGACCAAGATCGAGAGAGGAGATCGATCTGGAGTACGGACGTAAATGACGCCATGCAGAACGAGAGCCGGATCGAGACCACGACTCGATCATCCAAAGATCGAGTAAAAGATCGAACAAAGCACCTGATCCATCCAACCAGATCGACATGCAGATCGAGCGGACAAGGCGATCCCTGAAGAAGAATCGAGTGAACCGATCGATCTCAAGGTCGATCTCTACGGCCTTAACCGTTTTTGGGAGCTAGTGAGGGGACCATTTCGCTATGATTGGCTGTATGGGGAAAGAGGTGGCTACACTTTCGGGACACGCTTTACTTTTACTTTTTCGTGCTTATCTTATGCGATTTCGCCATTGTTGAACAACTAAGATTTTTCAGATTTTAAAACTTTGAACCTTTTAATATCAAGCAAGTTTTTCCTTTAATCGTTTTTTGATCATGCTTAGCTTTCTATCTATTGCTTTTCAATCGATCTTAACCATGAGTAGTGAGTAGTCTTTTTGGGTTTTCGGGGTTGAGGTGATTCAAAGGGTTGAAAGGGTTTAAAGCTTTGTGTTTTCTTTGTTCTTCATACCTTCTCTTCTAGGATCTTGGGGTCTTAAGGCTTAGAGAGCCTTGGAAAAGGTCTCTATGATTCCAGGACTGTCTTACCTTGATAGGATTCAGATATCCTAGAAAACCAGATCCTAGAGACTAATCTTTCCTTTCCCACACGCCATGGTTGTAAAGGGGATTAGTTAGGTCATTATTTGAAATCTGTTTTCCTTGCTCTTCGATCTCTTTTTCCACCAAATGCCATGGGTTTGGAGAAGAGATTGAGGAAGTGAACCATACCACACACCATGGATGGTTCTTGTTTTGTTTTCAAGGCTTAGAGAAACCTCACAAGTGAGTAGATCTAAATGTTTTCAAACCAAAGCTTAAACCTTTGAGATCCTTGAATATGACCCTCGACCCTAAAACCTCCTTTTTAGTATTTTAAAACCTCTGTTTATCATTTGCTTGTCATAAAGTTGCATTCTTGTTCATTAGAAGTCAATCGCCTTAAGTTGTTTGTTAGATCGATCCATTCTGCTCGATCCAGTGCTCGGTCCAGTGGTCGATTCACTGGTCGATTTTTAGTTCTTAGTATATTTGTATTTTTAATCTTTTGTTTGTTCCTAGTGGTAGTTAACTCTCTTCTAGGGATTTTCAAATTGCTTTGCATTCCATTAGATCGATGCATTTAGTTTTCTTTGATTTTACCAATCATTCATCCATTTTGCTTAGATTTGCTTCATCCTTGCATTCTTAGTGTTCTTCCTGCTTCCTAGTGTGGATTGATACCCCTTACTACTGTACTACATCATAACATGTGGTTTGGGCTTTGATAACCTCCTTTCTTGCTTACAAAAATCCTGTTATCAAATGGCGCCGTTGCCATCTTAGGATTGTTAGGAAGCATTAAGATTTGGGGTTTAGTAATGACTAAGCCTTTGTTTTCAATTTGGTTACTGATCTCTCTGCTTTCAAACTTGTGTCTTTCAGGTACATGAATCTGCGTTCTAGGGGTGACAACAACTTACTTACACCCCTGGACAATATTCATCAACTTGGACACGCTAGATCAAGAAGGGTGAGAGAGCAAGCTAGGGCCTTTGAGGAGATTGTTCAAGCTGGTTCAGTAGACTTTACAACAATGGCTGAGCAAGAACATCCTGAAGGACCTCCACCAGCTCACAATGCGATAGGAAGGGGCAATGGAAACCCCAACCACACAGCTAGACCCCCACGGATCATTGGTGCTGGAGATGCTCCTAAAACGCATCACAATCTCTTTGGGATCACTCCTCCACTGGTCCAGAATAACAACTTCGAGATAAAGCCAGAATTCATCTCTATGGTTAAGAATAGCAAGTTCCATGGGCTGGCAATGGAAGACCCCTTGGAGCATCTTGACAACTTTGAGCAAGTTTGTGGGATGATAAACATTAATGGCATATCAGAAGATGCTTTCAAGCTAAGGCTCTATCCATTTTCTCTTGGAGACAAGGCTAGGCACTGGGAGAAGACACTTCCACAAGGCACCATTACCTCTTGGGCTGAGTGTAAGAAGGCGTTCCTCTCAAAGTTCTTCTCTAGCACAAGAACAGCAAGGCTGCGAAGTGAGATTAATGGCTTCACTCAATGGAACAACAAGACATTTAATGAAGCCATGGAAAGATTCAAGGACTATACCATTCAGTTTCCTCACCACGGCTTCAGTGAAGAGACTCTCCTAAGCACAATTTACCGAGGAGCATTACCCAAGATCCGTTTACTACTTGATACTGCTAGTAAGGGAAATTTTCTTGGTCAAGAAGTGGAAGAGGTATGAAGTTAATCGAAAACTTGGCTTTGAGTGACGGCAACTACACTGAAGACTATGACCGTGCACCACGAGGTTCTGAGTTAGAGTCTCACAAGAAAGAGCTTAAGTCGTTGCATGAGAAGATTGACAAGTTGGTGCTTGCAAACCAGAAGCATGTACACTTCGTGGGTGAACAAGAAGAAGTCTTGGAGGAGTTAGACTTGAGTCAAGAAGAAGCTAACTGGATTGCTGGTCAGAACTACAACAAACCTCAAGGATATTCACAAGGGTACCAAGCCAACAACAATCTCTCTTACCGAAGCACAAATGTTGAGAAACCTAAAGATCAAGTGTACCCCGCTCAGCAAGCAAAGCCGTTTGTTCCTTACAACAAGGGTTTTCAAGCGAATAATGGCTTTCAAGGGCAAAGACAAGGGATCTTCCAGGGTCAGCAGCAGCAGTAAGGCAACAAGGGCTACACTCCTATGTATCCTCCCGACTTTGTTCCTCAACAACAACAAATGCAACCGCAACAACAAGATCCGGTACAAGCAATGTTCCAACAGTTGCTTCAAGGTCAAGCTTCTACTAATCAGAAGTTTGCCGAGATGAACAACCGCCTTGACTCCTCTCTTAGTGACGTCTCAACTCAGATAACAAACATGAACAACAAGATCAAGCAGTTAGAGAAGGGAAAGGCTACTACAAGCGGTCAAAGCAGCTTACCGGGCAAGTGTGAGCAGAATCCCAAGGAATACGCCAACGCCATTACATTGAGGAGTGGCAAAGAACTTCCACCGTGGGTTGCTCCTAAAGACAATGAGGACATTGTGATTCAAGAGGGGGAGGGTAAGCTTTCAGCTGATGAAGAAATTAACTTTGATAATGTGTGGATTGAGAGGCCAATGAGAGGCAAAGAAGTAGCCATAGAGAAGAAAGTAGAGCAAGCTACTAAGGAGAAGGATGTTTATGTGCCTCCACCGTATGTACCAAAGCTTCCTTTTCCTGGCTGCTTCAAGAAACATCTTATAGAGAAGCGTAGACTCTTGTTTGAGAAGCATCTAAGGATGTAGAGATCAAGCTTCCTCTTGTGGATTGTCTAGCTATGATGCCGAAGTGTGCTAAGTTTTTCAAAGACACCCTTACAAAGAAGAACAAGGAAATAAAAGAAGTTTTGGTGCTTAGTGAAGAGTGTAGTGCTATTATCCACAGAGAAATAGTGTCTAAGAAGTTAGGAGATCCAGGATCCTTCACCATTCCTTGTGCTTTGGGTCCATTGAAGTCTAAGAGCTGTTTGTGTGATTTGGGAGCAAGTATTAATCTCATGCCCCACTCTATAGCAAAGAAGCTCGGTTTCACACGGTTCAAAGAGTGTAGAATCTCCCTTGTGTTAGCTGACAGAAGCGTGAGGCTTCCAGTGGGTATGTTAGAAAATCTTCCAGTGAGAATAAGCGATGTCAATGTACCAACCGACTTTGTTGTGCTTGAAATGGATGAAGAGCCTAAGGATCTG